TCTTTACATCTTTACATGAGTCAGATCAGACCAAAAATGGAGTATTGCTGCCATATTTGGGCTGGAGCTGTTCAATTCTCACATTCCAGCCTTTGATAATCCTTTTACCATGCTTCATCTTTACATGAGTCAGATCAGACCAAAAATGGATTTTGCCATTTGGGCTGGAGCCATATTTGGGCTTCATCTTACATGGGCAGTTCAATGGAGTCTCCATATTCCAGCCTTGATAATCCTTTTTACCATGCTTCATCTTTACATGGTCAGATCAGACCAAAATGGAGTATTGCTGCCATATTTGGGCTGGAGCTGTTCAATTCTCACATTCCAGCCTTGATAATCCTTTTTACCATGCTTCATCTTTACATGAGTCAGATCTGACCAAAATGGGCTGGGTATTGCTGCCATATTTGGGGTCAGATCTGGAGCTTGGGCAATTTCAATTCTCACATTCCAGCCTTGATAATCCTTTTTACCATGCTTCATCTTTACATGAGTCAGATCTGACTAAAAATGGAGTATTGCTGCCATATTTGGGCTGGAGCTGTTCAATTCTCACATTCCAGCCTTGATAATCCTTTTTACCATGCTTCATCTTTACATGAGTCAGATCTGACCAAAAATGGAGTATTGCTGCCATATTTGGGCTGGAGCTGTTCAATTCTCACATTCCAGCCTTGATAATCCTTTTTACCATGCTTCATCTTTACATGAGATCAGATCAAAAATGACTAAAATGGAGTATTGCTGCCATATTTGGGCTGGAGCTGTTCAATTCTGCCACATTCCAGCCTTGATAATCCTTTTACCATGCTTCATCTTTACATGAGTCAGATCAGACCAAAAATGGAGTATTGCTGCCATATTTGGGCTGGAGCTGTTCAATTTTCACATTCCAGCCTTTGATAATCCTTTTTTACCATGCTTCATCTTTACATGAGTCAGATCAGACCAAAAATGGAGTATTGCTGCCATATTTGGGCTGGAGCTGTTCAATTCTCACATTCCAGCCTTGATAATCCTTTTACCATGCTTCATCTTTACATGAGTCAGATCAGACCAAAAATGGAGTATTGCTGCCATATTTGGGCTGGAGCTGTTCAATTCTCACATTCAGCCTTGATAATCCTTTAATGCTTCATCTTTTACATGCTCAGACATCTTTGCTGCATATTTGAGCTGGAGCTATTCAGATCTCAGACCAAAAATGGAGTATTGGATTGCTGCCATATTTGGGCTGGAGCTGTTCACATTCCAGCCTTGATAATCCTTTTACCATGCTTCATCTTTTACATGTCAGATCCTGACCAAAAATGGACCAAAATGATAATCCTTTTTGGAGTATTGCTGCCATGTTTGGAGCTGTTCAATTCTCACATTCCAGCTAATCCTTTTACCATGCTTCATCTTTACATGAGTCAGATCAGACCAAAAATGGAGTATTGCTGCCATATTTGGGCTGGAGCTGTTCAATTCTCCACATTCCAGCCAAAAATGATAATCCCATTTTTTACCATGCTTCATCTTTTACCATGAGTCAGATCTGACCAAAAATGGAGTATTGCTGCCATATTTGGGCTGGAGCTGTTCAATTCTCACATTCCAGCCTTGATAATCCTTTTACCATGCTTCATCTTTACATGAGTCAGATCTGACTAAAAATGGAGTATTGTTGCCATATTTGGGCTGGAGCTGTTCAATTCTCACATTCAGCAGCCTTGATAATCGACCAAAATTTTTATATTTGGGCTGGAGCATTCTCACATTCAGCCTTCATCTTTCTTTACATGAGTCAGATCTGACCAAAAATGGAGCTGCCATATTTGTTGGAGCCTCATTCATTCCTTTTACCATGGGCAGATCAGGAGCTGCCATTTTGGGCTGGGCTGTTTTCTCACATAATCCACCATGCTTCATCTTTGATAATCTGACCAAAAAATGGAGTTTGCCATTTGGGCTGGAGCTCAATTCTCACATTCCATGAGTTCATCTTTTACATGAGTCAGATCAGACCAAAAAAATGGAGTATTGCTGCCATATTTGGGCTGGAGCTGTTCAATTCTCACATTCCAGCCTTGATAATCCTTTTTACCATGCTTCATCTTTACATGAGTCAGATCAGACCAAAAATGGAGTATTGCTGCCATATTTGGGCTGGAGCTGTTCAATTCTCACATTCCAGCCTTTGATAATCCTTTTACCATGCTTCATCTTTACATGAGTCAGATCTGACCAAAAATGGAGTATTGCTGCCATGTTGGGCTGGAGCTGTTCAATTCTCACATTCCAGCCTTGATAATCCTTTTACCATATTGGGCTGGAGCTTTCATAATTCTTCATCTTTTACATGAGTCAGATCAGACCAAAAATGGAGTATTGCTGCCATATTTGGGCTGGAGCTGTTCAATTCTCACATTCCAGCCTTGATAATCCTTTTACCATGCTTCATCTTTACATGAGTCAGATCTGACCAAAAATGGAGTGCTGCATGCCATATTTGGGCTGGAGCTGTTCCTTTTATTCATCTTTACATTCCAGACCAAAATTGATAATCCTTTTTACCATGCTTCATCTTTACATGAGTCAGATCAGACCAAAATGGAGTATTGCTGCCATATTTGGGCTGGAGCTGTTCAATTCTCACATTCCAGCTTTGATAATCCTTTTTTTTACCATGCTTCATCTTTACATGAGTCAGATCAGACCAAAAATGGAGTATTGTTGCTGCCATATTTGGGCTGGAGCTGTTCAATTCTCACATTCCAGCCTTGATAATCCTTTTACCATGCTTCATCTTTTACATGAGTCAGATCTGACTAAAAAATGGAGTATTGCTGCCATATTTGGGCTGGAGCTGTTCAATTCTCACATTCCAGCCTTGATAATCCTTTTACCATGCTTCATCTTTACATGAGTCAGATCAGACCAAAAAATGGAGTATTGCTGCCATATTTGGGCTGGAGCTGTTCAATTCTCACATTCCAGCCTTGATAATCCTTTTTACCATGCTTCATCTTTACATGAGTCAGATCAGACCAAAAATGGAGTATTGCTGCCATATTTGGGCTGGAGCTGTTCAATTCTCACATTCCAGCCTTGATAATCCTTTTTGCCATGCTTCATCTTTACATGAGTCAGATCTGACCAAAATGGAGTATTGCTGCCATATTTGGGCTGTTCAATTCTCACATTCAGCTTTGTTCCTTTTACCATTTCATCTTTACATTCCAGCCAAAATGGAGTAATCCCATTTTACCATTCTCACATTCATCTTTTACCATGCTTCATCTTTTACATGATCAGATCCTAAAAATGGAGTATTGCTGCCATATTTGGGCTGGAGCTGTTCAATTCTCACATTCAGCTTTGATAATCCTTTTACCATGCTTCATCTTTTACATGAGTCAGATCAGACCAAAAATGGAGTATTGCTGCCATATTTGGGCTGGAGCTGTTCAATTCTCATTCCAGCCTTGATAATCCTTTTTTACCATGCTTCATCTTTACATGAGTCAGATCAGACCAAAAATGGAGTATTGCTGCCATATTTGGGCTGGAGCTGTTCAATTCTCACATTCCAGCCTTGATAATCCTTTTTACCATGCTTCATCTTTACATGAGTCAGATCTGACCAAAAATGGAGTATTGCTTGCCATGTTTGGGCTGGAGCTGTTCAATTCTCACATTCCAGCCTTGATAATCCTTTTACCATGCTTCATCTTTACATGAGTCAGATCAGACCAAAAATGGAGTATTGCTGCCATATTTGGGCTGGAGCTGTTCAATTCTCACATTCCAGCCTTGATAATCCTTTTACCATGCTTCATCTTTACATGAGTCAGATCTGGGAGACCAAAAAATGGAGTATTGCTGCCATATTTGGGCTGGAGCTGTTCAATTCTCACATTCCAGCCTTGATAATCCTTTTACCATGCTTCATCTTTTACATGAGTCAGATCTGACCAAAAAATGGAATTTTGCTGCCATATTTTGGGCTGGAGCTGTTCAATTCTCACATTCCAGCCTTGATAATCCTTTTACCATGCTTCATCTTTACATGAGTCAGATCTGACCAAAATGGAGTATTGCTGCCATATTTGGGCTGGAGCTTCATCTCAATTCTCACATTCCATTGATAATCCTTTTACCATGCTTCTCAGATAATATTTGGGCTGGAGCTGTTCAATTCTCACATTCCAGCCTTGATAATCCTTTACCATGCTTCATCTTTACATGAGTCAGATCTGACTAAAATGGAGTATTGCTGCCATATTTGGGCTGGAGCTGTTCAGTCTCACATTCAGCCTTGAAATTCTCACATTCCAGCCTTGATAATCCAGCCTTTTACCATGCTTCATCTTTACATGAGTCAGATCTGACCAAAAATGGAGTATTGCTGCCATATTTGGGCTGGAGCTGTTCAATTCTCACATTCCAGCCTTGATAATCCTTTTACCATGCTTCATCTTTACATGAGTCAGATCTGACTAAAAATGGAGTATTGCTGCCATATTTGGGCTGGAGCTACACAATTCTCACTGTCCAGCCTCGACAGTTCAAAAGTGATTACACAGCCTTGTAGGTGATGAATTATCCTCCACCCTGCAACTCTTATTATTCTACCACTATTATTATGGTAGATCTTCAAACATGTTATATTACTTTGCTCCACCTGCTCAGACCATCATAGATAAAACCCACCATGCCGTTCACAGTGGCAAATCATCCACATTCCTCTAAAAACAGCTTTTAATGCAGAACTTTATGAAACAAACTCCTGAGAGGATGCTTTCCTAACAACTACAATCTTGCTCTCTTCAAGTCTCGAGTCAACTGATATCTGTCGTATACGTCTTCATAATGTGCACTTCTTAATTACTTCTTCTCCCTCCCTTACAACAATCTCTACCTTGAGTTGTCCTTGAGCCTTATATTGATGAAGTAATGTCAAGGAAAAATAATTTAATGTATGGTATATTAGCCTTTTCTCTCCTTTTCAGACAATCTTCATTGTTCACGTGGGCCTGGCATTATTTGAAGACTTACCAATTATGATGATTGTCTGCGGATTCCTGGGATGTTTGACACACTTCCTTCTCTTGCAGAATTTTCCATATTTTGTCTTATCATCCCCATCCTTCATGGCTTCAGTTGGTAAGTTACGTTCCGAGTTGCATTTTTGCATGCAGGGCTTAAAATCATCCTGTTATCCCAGCAACGGATGTTCTATTAGTTTGAGATGACTTGGCAGAGTCTGGGGGATAATGTCCGCACAATAGAAATATTCCTCTGAAGTAAAGCCCGGGTGTGAGTGGCCATCAATTGATAAGAGAGATAGGATCTTTGAAAGATATCATATGTCAGGACTTGAGAGTGACATTGTCCTGTCATTCTGAGGCGAGTAGTTTCAGATGACCAGTTAGATTTTATGGGACAACCCTGGGATGATAGAAAACTTTTAATTAAGATGCTATTATATTTATTCTAAAAACAACTTGGTGGTTGCTGTCACAACGTTTCGGCCAACGTTACTAAAATTTTTTGTTGAAATTTTGTTATTTACACTATTTACATTGTTCGGACTGTTGTCCTCATCTTTGTTGCCATATTCACTCTTGCTTTAAAAAAATAAATTTTCTCTTTTTTCTTTTTTATTTAAGGATTCCTATTTATTAAACATATTTGATCCTATATATATATATATATATATATATATATATATATATATATATATATATATATATATATTGATCACATTTATAAAGTAATTGGAAAATGTCTAAAAAAATATTGGTCACAAAAAGTTTTATAAATATATGAATTACAAATATATTTTCCTAATTATTTATTTAAAAAATAGTAAATAATAAATACTGCATTTTAGATGGTTCACATATTTTGAAAATTTTGTAGATTTTTAAAAATCTTTTTGTAAACAGATTTCTTTTCATATTTAAAGGGTGTTTCATTAAGATGGATTTTATATATATATATATATATATATATATATATATAAAAGGGTGTTTCGTTAAGACAGATCAAAGTCAGCTGTAAATAAATCAATGTTATTGGTGAAAATTTATTTATTTCTCTATTGGATCATGTTATTTAAGTCATGGCAGTTATGTGCGAAAAATAATATCACCCAAATATCTGCCAAATCTGAAAGAAAAAGAAAAAAATCGTTAGATGCTTAAACTTAATTCACATTAAAAATCGGTCCAAGTTATTGGGAACAGCCTTTATTTTTTTATAAAATTCTAAATAATAAATCTTTATAAAAGGAAATAAGTATTGTATTGTACTTAGTTCACATATTTTTATAATGTTGTAAGTATTGTTGAGGGAGTCAAAAGTGTATACAGTAATGGTGTTTATCAAGGAAATAACCGTCCTTTTGATTCCTCTTTCTTTTTTCTTTCTTTTTTTTTTTTTTTTTTTTTTTTTTTTTTTTTGCAGGAATTTTTTTTTATTGTGACTCTCTCACAAAAACAGTAAATATTTCCAATGTCTAAATTTCCTTTTTCTTTTCAGTTTTTCTGTGCATAAACCACTATATGGCTTTTTCATATTTTGCATCTGTGTATTATTCGTTTGGGGAGGTAAGTGGAAAGTTTACTCCAATAACTACAACATAATCATTGGCTCTTATTTAAAAAGAATAATATTATTTAAAACGGTTATCAACATAGAAAGTGGCATTGACATGCTGAGTTCAGATTCCAGCTACGAAATAAATTATATTACATAGAAAGGAATTCAAAATTACCTCATTCAAATGAGGTCATTTTTAATTCCTTTCTATGTAATTTATAATATATATATATATATATATATATATATATATATATATATAGGAGGCATGGTGGGTAATGAATATCGGCTTGGATTGTGGAATCACAGAGCCGAGTTCGAATCCAGGTTGAATCCATTACATTCACTTACGTGCTAATACCCTTGGGAAAGGTGTGAATCCTCTTCTTCTCCCTCCAGCTATGGGTAAAATAGCAGGAGAGACTGGGTTCTATAGCCTTGGATGGCAACTGGTCTAGGAGAAGGACAACTCTGAATTCAAAACCTGAGGGGTGTTGTTTGGGGACCTTGTGGCACATCGTGCACCAGGTCTCTGTATTCGTCCCTTCAAAAAGTGTGGATGGTCCTGCACGTAACCTTCACCACTATAATCCAGATCTCATGTGCCGGTGTCGGGCTGTCAGTTTCCTGAAAAAACTGCTTTTACCCTCATACGCCGAACCCGACGGAGAATCAATTTTTATATATATATATATATATATATATATATATATATATATATATATATATATATAAATTTATTCGAAAATTATAACATAAATATATTATAAAATCACTCCAAAAATAGCTATTTTGTTTCAACACTTCTGATGTCTTATCAAGTGATGGTTTTGAATGTAGAATAAAGGATTTTAAAGGGTTCAAATCAATCAAACGCCCCTCGCTATGGGAAACACTGAGTGGTGGGGGAAGATGACAAAATGGAAAAGGTTTTTGTGTGATGTGCTTTGTCCTGTAGGGCTTCATCAGGCTTATATTTACGTTGATATGACTACTCATGCAACCATGAATGAAAAACACAGAGAATTTTGAATTTGAAAATAATTTTGTTTTAAATGACCCAACTAGATTTGTTTCTTTCATTTTTTTTTTATTGTAGTTTTCTAGTTTGCATATAAGTTCTCACACCGCATCCAAATCAAATTATGGAAAAAATGTGCAATGTTCATGATTGCTTTTTCATTAGCTTTATCCTAGCATTTTATTTCAGAAGCATATATTGTAAATTCTATCCACACTTTAAAGCCTTTTCCCTCAATCCCAGTTGAAAATATAAATTTCTTAAAACAATGCAAGACTTCCTGGATACACAAAAGCCATGCTCAGGCAAAAGTAGCTCAAACTATATGAAAACAATATTTCTATAAAATATGCAATTAAACTAAATCTTATCCAAAATATGCAACTAAACTAAGTCTTAACTGAAATATGATATAAGAGATTTTATTTCATGCATATATGTTTCGATAAAATATATTAAGATGACAAGAAAAAATCCTGATTTTAAAATTTTAGCAAAGTAATCCTTTGCGTTTCGTCTAAAACTTTGATTTTAATTTTGAATGATTTCTCTTTAAAATCCTGAAGATGTATAAATGTTGTGCTATTGCATTATTCTTGCAGGTTCTTGGTTACTTTACTATTTGCTTATGGCTCATCCCTTTTGCGTTTTTTGTGTCTTTGTCGGCCAATGAATACGTCCTGCCTACTGTCTCGGAAACTCGGCCATTAAACCCAAGAGGTAAGTTTGCAATACCAAGTTGTTTGTCTTTCCTGATTCATTTAAAAGAAATATTCTCTTAATGAAGAAAGTTTGCTCAGCATAGTTGCAGTATAAACCACAGGTGGGCTCTGTGGGTGTTGAACAAACACAAATGTGCCTGAGCAGACGTCTTCAATGAGGATTAGCTAACCATCCTAGTAGACTGGTATCCTCAGATACAAGTGGCTGCACCATTTAGATTAGGTAACTCCACGAAATCGCTAAAAAAAAAGAGCATAGTCTGATGAAAAAGACGCCAAACTTGATGAAAACAAAATTTTATCGTCTAAATGCTTATGTTATTATTAAGAGGAAAGACCAAAGTTTTTTTTAATTATTTTTAAAAAATTTTCCTTCTTTTTAAAACATTCTAAATTTTGATTTAAAAAAAAACCTTGTTTCTCTTTGTTGCAACATGGGTTAGTAAATAACATAGATAATTTTTAGCACGTTTTTTATGTATTACACACATTAATTTGGAAAATCTTGCAAAAATAAAAATAATTGTCAGATGTTAATGAAACTTTCAGAAACTATTCACAGATCATCGAAATTATTATAAATATGTTTTTTTTTTATTAAAGTCATGGCAGAAATATATTTTTTTTTTATATTAACACCCCCATAACTAATTTTATGAAAAACTAGAAATTCGAGTGCATCGGGTTTAGTGACTACAATAGTTAAAAGCACAAGGCTTTGAAGAATGCAAATCATGTTTTTTTTTTTTTTTATTGACTCCACGGTACCTGAAAATCAGCTCTGAATTGTAACATACAAAACTCAATAAAACAAATATATTATTTAATTTCAAATGCTTTTATTTGTTTTTAGTTGTTTTTATGAATATGGACAATATTTTCTGAAAGCAAAAAAATTTTTCAATGAAAATTGAATTTTTAATACAATTATTTGTTATTTCTTTAATTATAATAGATTTTTACAAAGTTAGTTATTAAGTTTTTTAAAGATATTATAACATTTGTTAAAAGCAACGTCAACCTTTCAAAGTGTCCATATGAGATTGTCATTGTCTAGCGCTTTGAAAATTGTATCATTTGGACCAATCAGAAGATCCACAGTAATTAAAAAATGTAATTTTTGTGCTTATAATCGGGCGGTAATTATAAAGTACGGAAGACCAACCAGAATACAATTTAGTTGCATTATTTGAGTTCAGCATTGTTCTCCGCTGTTAAGGCCTTTTTACTTTTTAAAACACGTATGGAGAAGTTAATTTGAGTTTTCAGTTTCAACTGAGAAGGGTACCTACAAGTAACAGTATCATCTTATGAAATTTAACTACTGCTAAACTTTAATTTATATGATCTTATTTTTATATTAATCTCAGTTATGACATTTTTCCATAAATGAAATATCAAAATTAATAAAATGAATGGAAATACAAATAACACAGTAAAATGTAATAAATGTACATAAAATTATAGTATTTTATGTACACTTCTGATAAAATTTCATAAGAAAGGTACCTATAAATTAATTAGATACCTTTTTCTTATGGAATTTAATCTCACTCTTAACAGTCTTATTTTTTAATTTCTTTATATTTTCCATAAAGCATCGTAAACGTAAAGATGAATGCTAAGAAAAAAAAAAATGAAAAATTAGAGCGCTGAAAGTTTTCCTTAAAAGTAACGAGGTAAATAATTTGTTCACTTAAATCTAAATAATTTGACTTCCTTCCATCCGTAGAAAGAATTATCCTCCCGTAAGTTATCTAAACGTCATGAATCTGTCTTTCGTCACTTGTCAAACGACACGAAAGGTTATGACCTGCTTTGTTTTATTTTCAAATTACATCTTTTCGGCGCAGAAGCTAAGTTAAGCTTGGTTCAAAATATTTTAAATAAACATTATAATTTCTGATTTTATTAAAATCAGTTTTGAAAAAATGATGATTGATTTTTAAAAGAATATCAAAGTCAGATTTTCATCTTTTTTATCAAATCAAAAAAAATGATTGAAAATGATTGATTATCTGTCCTTTTTTTTTTGGAAAAAAACAAGATTTTTAACGAAAATTTCAGACATGCTAGGAACGATTAAAAATGTAAAAAATATCCCAAAAATACTTTGATCTTTCCTCTTTAATAATAATATGAACATTAGACGATAAAATTTTGTTTTCGTCAAGTTCGGCATTTTTTTCATCATGCTATGCTCTTTTGTTTACATTTCGTAGAGGTACCTAATTTAGATGAAACACAAATTACTAAATAAACAATCAGGCCATATCTCAGAATGCAGACACAAAAATAAATTTTTATGACATTTCTTAAACTAAAAACAAATACTTTGTAAAATACTAGCTTGATAATTTTCTGGTATAACGAAGCTCTTTCATGATGCAGCATCCTTTAAACTGTGGGGTTTGCACAAAAAAAGAAATGAATAAATCTCCAAGTCAGAAACTGTGACAATGAAACAATAGAAAATTTCTATAAACATGGCTACAAATTAAACACGTAAGAGATGTTTCATTGTGTGGAAAATGTCAGTTTTAGAACATAATATTTTAAATGAAGCTCTAAATAAAATATGCCACAATAACTTTTTCTTTCTTCTTCAGTTTTCTATTATGTGCGTGTCGGTGTTATCTACCTGTATATAATACTCAAACATATGTGTAAAAAATTATTGGTGATAAACATGAAGTGGATAATGTGAGAAAAACTTGTGCTTAATAAAAAGAAATTATTCTAAACTATGTACGCATAAATCATGAGTTATTTTATATCCATCCATCATTCTCACTCAAATTAAAAATCTCTTGACAAATATTTGTATTCGTTTCGAACAAAAAAAAGCAACAAGAAAATATTTATGCTCATTTTCACTTTTTACATTTCACTTCTTTTGATGTTGCTTGCTAAACCAAGGGAGAAAACTTTTCACTTGATAAATGCAAAATATATGCTATAATACACAGATAATGTAACAAAGCCAATACTTTAATTTTAAATTAAAATTGTCCACATATGTAAAAAATTTTTAAATATATATTATACTTTATTTTCCATATTTTTGCTACATGTGTTTCCAGTCTCATGACCTTCATCAGGCAAAGAGTGGCTATTTCCACATTTTATTAAAAGGAATTAATTTTCCTTATGTTTTCCAATATTTAACCATTATCTTAAGTGTGCAGTTGTAATCCAAATTTTTCTTGGACTTGTGGAGAAAATATTCTTCTGCTTAAGGGGTAACAAAACAATTAGGATTGATAAGAGAAACGGCGAAGCAATAAGGTTTTTGTTCTTATCTTTTTTCTGACCCCTGTATCTTTTTAAACCTATCTCCATTTTTTGCGTGTGCATTTTTACTAGTATTAGTATGTGTATACATATTCCTTTTCCATACATATATATTGTTTTATTATAAAGAATTAGTGTGTATATATATGTGTGTGTCTATATATATATATATATATATATATATATATATATATATATATATATATATATATATATATGTTCATTGTCCATAGATATTAGTGTGTGTGTGTCCCACTAGTCTATTCAGCCATTATTCAGTGGATTATTATTATTATATTTTTTTTTCCATGTCGACAGTATAGTTAAATTCCCAGATGAAATATAATAATATATATAATATAGTAATAATAGTAATAATAATATATATAATATAATAATAATAATAATAATCCCTTACTAGAAAGGTAATTTACATTAACCAGAAAAAAAAGCTTAAACAGAAGTGTCTATCTTTTTAAATTTGGATTTTTAATGTAACTATAACAACAAAAACATTTCGATTTCATTTTTGCCTTGAAAAAGTCAGAAGACGAAAAGCGTTGGCAAAATGTAAGATTTGTTTCCAATTGTCATTTGATACCAATCTGTCTTGTCCACAAAATTCATCTGGGAATTTAACTAATATATATATATATATATATATATATATATATATATATATAAAATGTTCATTGTCTATAGATATTAGTGTGTGTGGTCAGACTTGTCTATTCAGCCATTATATATGTATGCTGTGTGTTTATGTGTGTGGGGTTATGATCTGTTTAGTGTTGGTTTAAATTTCTCTATGAATTTTTATAACATAGGAAGTGTGTGTGTGTGTATATATATATATATATATATATATATATATATATATATATATATATATATATATAGCAGTTTTTAGGGATACCCAAAACAAAATAATAAGCTAAAGCTTGAAGGAGGAATCTACTCTATTAATTACCTGTAATAAATGCTACAAGGAAATACATCGGTGAAACCTCAAGAATTTGAATAAAAGATTATATGAACATAAAGGGGATCTTTTACAAAATATCACATTAAACACATTTAAAAGTGCCAATGACTGATAGTCCTGGATAGTACAATAAACTACATCCAGCAGCAAAGCCACTGGTTTGGAGGTTTTGAAAAGCATGGAACCACCTCTTAATTGCTGTTCCCAGATCCAGCCTGACCTTGGGTAGTATCACATGTTAAGGTCTCTGCTGTGGGCAAATATTGAGTCCTCCCCCAAGCAAAAACAAAACACTATGCAAGTATAAAAATATATTTTTATAATAAAAATACCACTAATAATTTTTATAAAAAAAATAGTACCTATTCATCGTAAAAATTACCAATAATTTTATCTGTATTTGAAGGTGGTACAATTGTGCTCAAAATATTTTTAGTTGGAGCCATAAACTTCTGTTCAAAATATTTAGGTTTCAGCATTAAATCACCCGTAGAGGTTGATATACAGCTAAACAAAATCAACCAGCCAAAAACTGATGGTCATCCACATGTGTGCTTTATTTCAGGGGGCATGTCACCCCCCTCTTAAAATACTTAAAGCAATTTTACGCAATATGTTCAGATATTGTTTCATTTCTTTCCACTTCACAATTTCTGCAAGCAGCTTAAGCGGATTTAAGGCCCTGAATAAATTGCCAAAATCCCGAACTTGTATCTGTCACTAGCAGGAGAGCCCGGCGTTGCCCGGGGATGTAACAGTAAGAGATAGATCAAGTATTGACCATCATAAAGACTGAAAAATAAAATTGACAAAGATTATTGTTTAAGGTTGACGGACATGCACGTCTTTAATTAGTTTTTTTTTTTTACGAATTGGTCAAACCCAAACTCAAACAAAAACATTGTTTTCAATCGTTATGAGTCTACCGATTGAATAGAATTTTATTATAAACAATTGTCTTGTAAATGGAATTTTTAAAGCATTCTGAATGTAAAAATAATGAAAAAAGTGTGTAAGACAATAAAAAACACTACTTGCCAAAAAAAAAAGTGAAGTTTTGTTGAAATCAGTTGAAAAATGTAGGAAATCTGATCCCATATATAAACGAACACACACAAACAACCAACCTGGGTTTTATAATAAGTATAACTCGATATGAGTTGTCTTCCTTTCATTCTGGTGACAGAATCATGTTTTCAAATTGATTTCATGCAAAAACAATTGTGTTTTTCCAATTTTTGGCGCTGTCAGAACCACCGCAAGGTAATTTTACGTAGTCCTGTGAAGTTTGTTGAAATCGGTTGAAAAATGTAGGAAATCCGATGCAATATATAAACGTACAGACACACACACACAATCTGCATTTTATAATAAGTAAGATTATAAAAGAAGACATTCAACTGTCTTGTAATGATATGACTGAATTACTGTATTTTTTTTTTCTGTATAATACGACCACATGTTTCTGAAGCTAAAAACATGGAATAAACAATTTCCTTTTGTATAATACGACCCTGTAGTACAGCCATCTCTATCTCTATGTAACTTCATTTTTTTTTTTTTTTTTTTTTTTTTTTTTTTTTTTTTAAATGTACCATATTTTCCATTAAAGTCTCATTGTTGTACGAGGGCAGGGTGAAAAGTTCAGAATCTGACTATGAAGGCGTGATGCTAGAGCTGTGAAATATTGCATGCGTTCAACTCTTCTTATTACCTACTGCGTTGTTTCTTTCCAAGTAAACCGACATCTGACTGATCAAAGAAGACTTCAAAAGTGACAAGTAGCAACTTCTCTTGAAAATGGACAAAATTTGGTATTGTGGTGTTATCAGTTACCCACAGAAAAAAAGGCTTAGCCCTCAAGAACATACACGCTGACAGGGTTGCTACATTAGGGGATGACACCCGCAGCTTTATCAGCAGATAAATAAGCTTCAACTGCTGAAAGCAGTGCATATTTATTTTGTCTTTTAACTCATCTTTCTTCTCTCTTTTTTTTTTTTTTTTTTTTTCAGCCGACATGGACAAAGATATGGATGTTGTAAGCAACTATTTCCAACGTCGAGGAAAACGCTACGGCCTTCTGTCATTCTTCAAATACGCCCAAGAAAGTATTTTACCCCAGCGGATCAAGAAACAATTCTAAATCCAAAAGCCACACCCGACCCAATTTTTTGACACATTTTTACACCTCTTTGACCTTCCCCTGAGGACCACCTGTTTACTGGTCAGTATGCTAAACGAAACAGAACTGACCACTGTCCTTTTGAAACAGGGTGGGGGATTGCCACTATATCATTATCCTGTATAGTTTCCAGACTTAGTATCTTCATCTTTATTGTTTTTAAGAGATTTTTTTTCAGCTTGAATACTTCCCAATGTTGTCTTTGAAGATACTATCGCCTGGTTCACACTCCTCCCTCCCACCATCTGTTGAACAGGAGTAGGCATTTATCCCTTGTTTCCTTTAACATCTGTCTATACTTCTGAGATTTTGTAACTATTTACATCGTTCGGACTTTTGTCTTCATCTTTATTGCCATATTCACGACTTTTCAGCCATTGTATGCTCCGGCCTTCTTTGAGATCGGTCTATATTTCTGAGGTATTGTAACTCTTTACACTATTTGCGTCGTTTGGAGTGTGGTCTTAATCTTCACCGTACACTACAGTTTTCTTCTGATGATATATGTTAGAATTTCAAACTGAACCCATTATTTACGACGTATTTCACCTGAAAAAGGCTGGAGTGTACAACAGCCGAAACATTGTGAATTTGGCAGCAAAAATGAGGACAACAGTGTGAACAATGTAAATAGTTACAATGCCCCATCTCAGAAATATAAACAGATCCTGAAGAAGGCCAGAGCGTAGAATGGCCGAAACATCGTGAATTTGACAGCAAAGATGAGTACATTGCAAACATTGTAAATAGTGTAAATACGCTGGTTTTCCAGTTTCTTCTAAAGTTTTCGCATTCTCTTTCACTCTCAGCCACATTGTGCTGAAAGACCAGTTCCTGTATTATCACTGAGGTTAAGCAACATTGAGCCTGGTCAGTATGTAGATGGGTAACCGTTTGGGAATATATCAGGTGCTGTAAGCTTGGATGTGTGAGTGGTGTAATGGATAATTGCTCAGAATTGTTAATTAGGTTCCAATTCCACTTGGGTTCGTTATGACTTTCACACATATATCCTTGGGGAAAATTTTGAATCCAACTGTTCTCTCCCCAGTTATGGGTTAATTAGTAAGAATTGTATCACCGTTATTATCACAAAATATAAAATTGTGTCCAAAATATTTCGATTTTGGCATAGAGGTTGATATGACACTAAACAACCAAAGAACAACCCAGTAACTCCTTGCGTCTTAGTGGCATTATCACCTTGTTTGGGGTGAAAAAATTGTCAATTTTTTTCCCTCTGCAACCTTTTTCATCTCATCAACCTGAATTCCCAAATCTAACAAAAGCACAAAATTCTTTCGGTTTCATGTGAATAATAATGTGAGAACAAAATAGATTCCTTTTGATATGACACTGCATCCATAGATGCTACTTAAATCGATTGTTCTGCTTGTAAAAAAAAAAAAAAAAAAATAATATGGAGAAAATTTGTGGTGGGTGGTGATAATTTTTACAGAATATCATCATTCAACTTTCTTGAAGCCATAACATTTATCAAAATTAAAAAATAGTGATTTTTTTTTTTTTTTTTTTTTTTTTAATCATTTTAGAAGTGGGGGTCCTATTCATAATACAAATACAGTGTCAAATCGATCCCTGACTTCTTAAAGAGCTACATGTTCTTTATTTACTGGTCTCCGGTTTGATACTGTGCTTACATCATTGATAACAACGTGCTTCTAATGCCATTTTCCTAATTTGTAATCGTACACATTTTATCAATTTAGGCAGGTTTAAACTTCATATTTAAAAACAAAATATGGAGAACTCTTTCAGATGTCAAGAATCAGTTTGACTCTGTCTTATAAACAGGACACAGATATGATATAAACAGAAATGATGATGAAATATTTTTCAGTTTTAACATGAAAGGTCCAGTGAAATTTAATCTACAAAATTTGTTCCCACACATACATATATGTATATTTTTCAGCAAAAAAAAACAAAAATTACCTCAACATGGAATAGTCAATTTCAAGCCATTCTGTATGCTGCTATCATCAGCCCTTAAGTGTTTGTCTCGGAGCATTGTTTTAAATTTATTTTCAATGCACACATATAAGTGTGTTGGACAGCATGATTTATTCCATTACCCACAATCTATAAATCAACTAATTTACATTAATCTTAATGGGATTAAGTTTAAATCTTCCATCGCTTATTAATAATATTGGACCCTTGTAGTACAAAAACTATTTACTATGAATCCCAGGAAAAGATACTTGGGGCTCGTATAAGAAACGCCACATAGTAGGAACTGATATTAAATGACAAACAACGAAAGGTCCTGGCCATAAACTCCAACCCCAGACTCCTTCCCTGGAATGAGATACCTTATGTTCCCCACCAGTCACTAATACAAGCCCATCCTCATTAACAAGGTGTCTACCAGAGGAGGACTGACATTGAAAATAAATTTAAAACAATGCTCCGAGACAGACACTTAGCGGCTGATGATAGCCATGTACAGAATGGCTTGAAATAGATTATCCCATGTTGGGGTAATTTATGTTTTCTTTTTTGCTGTGAAAAAAAAATAAATATCCTCTGTTATTATAAATACATCGAGCTCTCTGTGGATCAGTTTTAATGATAAATATTACTAGGATCCACCTGGATTATATACCAACGGATCGATTTCCTGTAATATATATATATATATATATATGGACAGTTGTTTGTGACTTTAGGTTTCACACTTTTACAATCTTCAGACAAACTGATTTATTTTCTCAAAAGTGGATCTATTTACGCTTTATTTGTGTTTTGTTTATTTGTGTATGGTCGGAGGGGGAAATTTTCTTTGTTCGTATTGACGAATTTACTGTTTTTTTGCACGCACACGCTCATGAATTTTTGTTTTTGGAAGAAAAATTTAATTTACAACTAGAAGAATAATCTACAGCTGAAAAACTGAAGACGTAAACAAAAATTCTTGAATGCACACGTGTAAAAGTATGTTAGATTCTTGAATACGCACATCTACAAATGGAGTAAAAAAAAAATATATAACGGATTGAAAAAGACACGGAACAAATTGAAAAAGTTGGAAATATTATTTAAAAGAAAAACCCCTGAAGAACGGAAATTTACCAAGAAATTTCTAAGTCAGGGAAAACAACAAAAGAAATTGATATTTAAAAGTTAAATAATCTTTTTATATAATATTACTAATGCTTTTTTTTTTCTTTTTAAATACTATTTTAATATTGAGCACTATATATAAAAAATATCTGCTGTTTCTGAAATTATATATATATATATATATATATATATATATATATATATATATATATATATATATATATATATATATATATGGATATAGATCCGATCCGAGTATGAAGAAAAATATACGGAAAAAACAAACAAAAATCTTAATATGCAATTATGCTGCTTTAATGATCATATTTAAATGGAACACTGATCTTATAAAAGATTTCAGTTATCTGTTTGGATTGGTCTTGCTTTTATGTCCATCGTCTTTTTCATGTTGAATTGAATATGGTCTAATGTTAATTATGTTTTATTGAATATGTCCTGAATATGGTCTATTAGACCGAAACGTCCGACGTTGACATATTAACATTAAAACTGCATAATTGCATATTAGGATTTTGTTTGTTTTTTTCCGTATATTTTTTCATATATATATATATATATATATATATAATATATATATATATATATATATATATATATATATATATATATTATTCTTTTTTTAATTAACCCCAAGCAATGTGATAATGTCATTAAGATGCAAAGGGCTACCAGGAGTGAAAGATAATGAAAAGACTTTAGAAGGAACCATAAACCCGGTCCTAAACGAGAAATAAACCCCCTATTCCTGTTCGAAAGACCAAGCATACCAGTCAATTTATGCAGTGACAATTTATTAATGCTTATCATAAGAGGTCAACAAGAAAAGTTGACTCTTTGATAAGGAAAAAGAAGTTTCACGTTTGTAGTGTAAATAGAGAAAAATTGGAAAAATTTCTCACTTGTTTTCAAGAACTCAGCCTTTATTGTTGACCCCTTTGATGTGAAGCAATAAAGAGTTCAAAGGTTAACTCTAAGCCCCCACCCCCTTAATACAAAAGACCTGAACTACTTTTTCCTCAGAAATGATAGAAATAGAGAAAATTTTTCTGACAGTTGCTTTTAGCAGAAGGCCTGCAATGTCAGGTTTTTCTGTTGGAATATGAGGGAAGATAAGAAAGAAAAGGGTCCGAGGTAACTTCGAAAGACCACCAGGTAGCAACAACGTACACCTAAAGAGAACTGGTTGGAATATTCGTTTGAAACGTTAAAATCAACAAAGATGAAGATGTCTGGAAAATCTGTGGAATAACAAAGAATCTCAGGATAAAAAAAGATTCTGACTGATTCTTAATTCTGGAAACCCACCTCCCACAACTTGAGTTGATTATTCAGAAGTTTTTCGTGTTTTGTTTTAAAAAAAAAAAAGGCAGACATTATATAAGTGAACTGTACTTTTTTTTTTCTTTTTTTTTTCAAAAACCCGAAGGAAAAAGTGCTGGCAAATTTTTCTTAAAAGTATTACTTAATAATTGGTGTTGACTCTGCTCCTTGGCCCCCTTGTTTAAAAATTCTAAGTCTTTCTCAGATTTGTTTTTGTTTCTATTAATTTATCCAAAACGGACTGTTTTTCTTTTTATGATCCTATGTAGACATTTGCTTGGTGACTATAAGGTGATTGTATTTTGCCATTGGTACCCATGTGAGTTCCAGGTGGGAAGCTAGGAAACAATTTAAAATACAGAATTTTAATATGGGTTAGTACAAGGCGACCTTCCTTTTCACACTCACCACCCACATCGTATTGTTCTTATCTCTCTAGATCTATTCAAAGATATCTCTCTCTTACACACACACACACACACACACACACACACACAAATGAAATGAGAACGAATCAAATATAAATTAAAACGTTCACAACATTAATTTGAAAATAGGGCACGGTACAATAGTAGCACAATAATTCTTTATTATAGGATATTACGTTCAGACAT